TTGGAAAGAGAAACATTTTTCCTAAAGTATTTTAGGGAGTATTTTCTCTTCAATTGGAAATATGAGAATATTTTCTATTTTTCCTTAGAATTTTTGTTCTATAAAATTGTATGGTTGAACTCGGAATAATAGAATCGTAATTTAAATATATATTCGAATTCTTAGATTTTTACTAATTAGAGACAATATATAATTGATAGGTATCAATTTTGGGCGTTGTGGGGTCCTTTCCCACATGTAATCGACCCCCGAACCCATTTTATTATAAAAAATGAATTTTTGTTACACGTAGATCGGTAAATCTTTTAAATGACGTTTTCCTAAAAACTCTTTTAAAAGAAAATTTTTAGATATTCGATTTACTTAATTCAAAAGGTCGAAGGTGACTCCAAAACATTCCAAAATCATTTTCAAAAAAATCCCCAAGTCGTACCAAATTTTTTCCTGCTCCAGGGCGGAAATCAGTTACGACAGTTAGTATGAGTATTCAAGCCCCAAATGAATCGCCTTATATGACTTTTAATGTCTGAACATATTTTCTTTGGAAGAGTCGTGACTTGCATGAAATAAACAGGAATAGTCGATAAGACAGACTTGGCGAGAGAGAGACGGCTCGCCATAGAAAGACTTTTGGCTGCCCAGCCTGTGAGTTTCCCTCGTATTTTATCAAGAACGAAGGCAAAGTCATTGGAGCTTGCCCGACCATTGAGGATAGGAACTCCCAGATATTTACCAAAAGTACCAACTTCTTGGACTCCCAAAGTGAAGCTAATAAGGCCTCGAGTAGTTATATCTGTGCCCGGGGAAAAGTAAAGCTGAGTTTTACGCTTGTTAACCCTGTTCCCCAAAAAAATATCCAAACTGGGTTAAGACCCTTTCTATGAGATTGGCATATTGTACGTCCGCTTTAGCATAAAACATAATATCTTCTGCAAAAAAAGAGGTGGGAGACTTGAGAGCTGTTTCGGGCAAGAGTGAATCTTTTCCAAATACCCAAATCGACACACTGGTGAATATTGTGTCCGAGGTGTTCCATGGCCAGAATGAAAATATATGGGGATAAGGGATCCCCTTGACAGATTCTTCTCCCAGGTTGAAAGATAAGAGACAGACTTCCGATCATTGAATTTGGAACGATGAAGTCGTGATACAATGCATGATTGTCCGGATAATGCTGGGAGGGAACTGAGCTTTAATTTGGAAGACTTGAATGAAATCCCAGCAGATTCTATCGAATGCCTTTTCAAGGTCCACTTTGATCACCATCCAGCCTTGCTTCCCTTTTAGACAACGCATGGAATGGAAGATTTCTTGGTTAATGATTATGTTATCAGTGATAGACTAGCCAGACACAAAGCTTGTTTGATTAGGTTGGATTAAAATAGGCATGATATTCTTCAAGCGACGGAAAATGATTTTGGTTATAGGTTTGTACAGAACAGTGCACAAATTTATAGGCCAGAATTCAGAGAAATTTGAGGGGACTTCAACCTTCGGTATAAGAACCAAAACCGTCCTATTGATATCTGGCTCAATGTCTCCTCCAGTGAAGACGTTCTGAATCATTCTGCAAATAGAATTACCCACAACATGTCACTGTTTTTGGAAAAATTCAGCATGCAGACCATCATGCCCCTAGGCTTTCAGCGGAGCCATGCTTAAGAGAGCCTCATGAATTTCAGAAGGCAAGAGGATTCTGGCAAGAGAATTAATGATATTGTCTTCCACCATAGGAAAATGGCCCGTTGAGGGGAATTTACCCTGAACAAAATCATCATTAGAATAAATAGAACGAAAGAAATTAACCGCATTGGTTTTAAGAATATCTTCATCAAAACACCAATCATCAAAATTCAGCTTAAGAGCACAGATCTTATTGAGTTGTTTTTTATAGATGGCTTTCCTGTGGAAGTACTTTGTGTTTTTGTCTCCTTGAGTAACCCAATCAAATCGGGATCTTTGTTTCCAGAGTTTTTCCTCAAGATCAAGAATATTCTTCAAATCCTCCAAAAGCTCAGCTTCAAGATCAATTAAGAAACGAGAGTGATTCCGATTTAAGCTCTTTTGAACCCCTCTGACTCCGGCCATAATAATATTGAGAATGCTCCAAAATCGTAGGAGATGAATATGTCAAATAGAAGATATGGAAATCCAGAAGAAGCCGACCACAACTCAACATTTTTGCACTTTGAATTCTTAATACCTATTTTTTTCTCTTTATTGTTAGTTATGTTGGGCCTTACTCCTAATATTTTTAGGAGGTTGTTTTTCTTTATTTTTTAGTTGTTTGAAGCCTATAAATAGGCTAGTTTAACTTGAATAAAATGTGGTAAATTATTCAGCTTCTTCAATTAACAGTGCCTATTTTTTATTTTCCTTTACATCTGCTTTTTTAAATTGACAGTTTGGCATAAGAGCCAGGTTGCTTCGATATCAACTGCGCGTGAAAGAGAGAAACACGAGATTGAGAGAGTATGGCAACAAACTCATCCTCATCATCGCAACTGCCAATTCCTGTTTTTAGCGGTAAAAAATACCAGTTTTGGAGTGTAAAGATGCAAACCTTATTCAAGTCTCAAGACTTGTGTGAATTAGTTGAAGAGGGCATTGGTGAAACAGATGATGCTGCTAAGATGAGGGAAAATAAGAAGAATGATGCAAATGCTCTTTAGCTACTACAACAAGCAGTCCATGATGATATTTTTCCAGCCATCTTAATGCTTCCAGAGAAACATGGTTAACACTACAACAAGAGTATCGAGGGGACAACACGATCATCAACGTTAGATGCAAACTCTTAGGCGAGAGTTTGAAACATCGATGATGATGAAGGATGAAACAATACAAGAGTTTCTCTTTAGAGTTAAGTCAATTGTGAGTCAAATGTGGAATTATGGAGAAAAATTCAGTGATCACATTATTGTCACCAAAGTTTTAAGAAGTTAACTTCCTGGTTTGATCATGTTATAACAGCTATAGAAGAATCAATGGATTTAACTCAGATGTCATTCGATGAATTAATGGGATCCTTGCAAGCACATGAAGCAAGGATCAATTGGCCTGAAGAAAAAGTAGAAGAGAAGGCATTTCATGTTAAGGGGGAGTATACTTCAGGAGAAGAAGACTCAAAGAGAGCAGACGAACAAGTGTATGACAGAGGTTGTAGAAGAAGAACTAGTCGAGGACGAGGAAGAACTCAAGGAGTTCAGTGCCACTATTGCAAACGATATGGGCATGTTCAAGCGGTTTGCAGGAGAAAACAGAATCAAGAAAATTATACCGAAGAAGCTGAATTTGATGGAGGAGAAGAAGAGGATTGCAGGGCGTTCATGGCATGGGTTGATCCAAAAGTAAATAACCAACAGGTCTGGTTCCTGGAAAAGGGATGCTCTCACCATATGGCAGGAAATAAAAGTCTACTTTCAGGTCTAGACGAAAGCTACAAGAACGGTCAGGCTTGGAGATGGTAAACAATTAAAAGTTGAAGGAAAAGGGATCGTGGCCATGCAAAATAATCATGGTAAAATCAACTACCTTTACAATGTTCTTTATGTGCCTAATTTGTCTTAAATTTTGCTGAGTGTGAGACCGTTGTTAAGTGGATTCATTGTTACCTTTGACAAATCTTCATGCCTGGTAGCAAGTAAAGCATTTGGAAAAGTTTTGGTGAAGGCAAGCATGACACAAAATAAATTATTTCCTGTGGATCTTACAAGGGTAGAGACATATGCATTGATAGCACAAAAAGAGGAAGTTATAGCTTTGTGGCATAAAAGATATGTTCATATCAACATCAATAACTTAAAGATGCTGCAACAAAAGGAGATGGTAAAAGGAATACCCATGCTTAGAACTTTAGATATTTGTGAAGCATGCGTTTATTGCAAACAATGTAAGAAGTCATTCCCCACAGAAAAGGCATGGATGGCAACAAAACTATGGAATTGGTTCATGGTGATTTGTGTGGACCAATGCAAACCAAAACTTTTGGTGGGAGTAAGTATTTTTTTTTACTATTCACTGATGACTTTAGTAGAATGAGTTGGGTATTCTTTTTACAGAAAAAAGATGAAGCATTGGATCATTTTAAAAAATTCAAAAACTTAGTTGAGAGGCAAAGTGGAGAACCGACCAAAGCTCTTAGAACTGATAGAGGAGGAGAATTTACCTCAAAAGATTTATGGATGTTTTGTGAAGAAAATGGTATTCACAGGGAGCTTACAACACCTTATACTCCCGAGAAAAATGGAGTGGCAGAATGCAAGATTCGACCATTAGTAGAATGGCAAGAAGCATGTTGCAAGAGAATGGGCTGCCAAATCATTTTTGGGAAAAAGCTACAGCAATAGCTGTGTATCTTCTGAATATCTCACCAACAAGAGTTGTCCCAAACAGAACTCCCTATGAAGTTTGGACAGGTAGAAGACCTAGGGTAAGCCACTTGAGGATTTTCGATTGTATTGCAAATACCTGATTAATTCTCTAGTTTGAAGCAAGCTATATAACAAAGCATTAAAGTGTGTTTTTGTTAGTTATTGTAACAACTCAAAAGCATACATATTATTTAATCATGTGAGTGGAAAGATTGTTATTAGAAAAAATGTGACATTTAATGAAGAAGGGAGGTGGAGGTGGAGATGGTGTGAAAACAATAAAGGAGCTGCTCAAATGGAAAAACTTATTGATGAAAATCAAGCTGAGGACGTGGAGCCCATTGTTGAAAGTGAATCAAGAAGTCCTAAAAATACCAGTAATAATTCCAACAGCTCTTCATCTGTTCAATTAGGTACAAATACTCCCTCAAGCTTGGAAACAATTTCTGAATCATCATGCATAAGTGAAGATACAAGACCACGTGGGTATAGATCTCTAAATGAAATATATGAAGCAACAAAAGCCTTATATGTGACATACCCAAATTTATTTGAAGAAGCTGTCAAGAAGGATGAATGTAAGCAAGCGATGGAGGAGGAACTTGCAACAATCAAGAAAAATAAAAAATGGGAGTTAGTGGACCTTCTGGAAATAAGGAAGCAATCGGAGTGAAAGGGGTGTTCCAGACAAAATTCAATGCAGACAGAAGTATTCAAAAGCACAAGGCACGATTGGTGGCTAAAGGCTATGCTAAAAAACACGGAATAGACTACGAAGAAACATTCTCACCTGTTGCAAGATTTGAAACTGTAAGAATTCTTCTATTTCTTGCTGCCCAATTGGGTTGGTATGTCTATCAATTTGATGTGAAATCAACATTTCTTAATGGATAGTTGGAGGAAAAAGTGTAACACAACCTGCGGGTTTCATAATTAAAGAAAATGAGGAAAAATTTTACAAGTTGAAGAAGGCGCTTTACGGTTTAAAGCAGACACCTCGAGTGTGGTACGGGAGAATTGATGCTTATTTTCTAAAGAATGAGTTTGAAAGAAGCAAAACTGAGCCTACACTCTACATAAAGAAAAGAGGTAAGGATGTGTTATTTGTGAGCGTGTACGTGGACGATATGATATGATATATATGAGTTCTTCTTTCTTGATGATGGATGTGTTTCGATTTAGCATGAAGAAAGAATTTGATATGACTGATTTGGGGTTGTTTCATTTTTTTTCTTGGAGTAGAAGTGAAACAGGCGGATAATGATATCTTTATTTCACACAAAAAATATACAACTGATTTGCTTAAACGTTTTCATATGTTTGGTTGCAAAGAAGCATGAACACCAATTAACATAAATGAGAAATTGCAACAGGAGGATGGGACAGAACAAGCTAATGGTCAGCTGTATAGAAGCTTAGTAGGAGGGGTAATTTATTTAACTCACACTAGGCCTGATATTTCTCACGATGTTGGTGTAAACTTCAGGTTTATGCACAATCCTTCAAGACATCATTTCAGAGCAGCAAAGAGGATTTTACGATATATAACAGGGACTCTTGATCTTGTCATTTGGTACGACCATGGGATAAGATATAAGCTGATTGGCTACACTGATAATGATTGGGCAGGATGTATAGAGGATCGAAAAAGCACCTCTGGTTATGTTTTTAGTATTGGTTCAGAAGTTGTTTCATGGAGTTCAAAGAAGCAAGCAACGGTTTTGTTATCTTCATATGAGTCCGAATATATAGCTGCTTCAGCAACAACATGTCAAGCAATTTGTTTAAGAAGATTACTTGGAGAGCTCTATCAACAGCAAAAGGAAGTAATAGAAGCACTTTGTAACAACAAGGCTGCAATTGCAATGTCCAAGAATCCTGTTCATCATGGATGAACAAAACATGTGGATATTAAAGCACGTTTTATTAGAGAGCTAGTGGCTGAAGGAGAAATTTCTATGCAATATTGTGAGTCAAAGCATCACCTTGCAGGAATATTCACGAAGCCTCTAGCAAAAGACAGGTTCATGCATCTGCTTGGACTACTTGGAATCTACGAATTTGGAACAAGGGGGAGTGTTGAGAATGCTCCAAAATCGTAGGAGCCGATATGGAAATCCAGAAGAAGATGGCCACAACTCCACGTTTCTGCACTTTGAATTCATAATGCCTATTTTTTCTCTCTTTATTGTTAGTTACTATGGGCCTTACTCCTAATATTTTTAGGAGGTTGCTTTTCTCTATATTTTTAATTGTTTGAAGCCTATAAATAAGCTAGTTTAACTTGAATAAGCTGTGACAAATTATTCAGTTTCTTCAATTAACAGTGTCCTTGTTTTTTATTTTCCTTTACATCTGTTTTTTTTAAACTGATAAATAATTCTTTTCCTTGTACCAATGTAACCAAAGACAGATTTTTCTAGATGGCAGCGACTTTAGTGAAGTTGAAAAAAGTCTCCGAAAGATGGTTAACATTCGAACCACCGATGGAGAGAAGGAGAGGGAGATGATCAGATCGCATGCGGTAAAGATGGCTGACAACACATTCTGAGAATGATTATCCCACAGACTATTACACAAAGCTTAATCCAAGCGACCATAGGACATGCCACGGTTCCATGTAAATTTGGGACCTTGATATCCCATATCCCTGAGCCCATGATCGTAGATAAAATTAATAAAGTCTCTGCTAGGTCTCGTAGAAACAACACAGTTACGTCTGTAAGAACTAGCCAAGGTAGCGTTCAAATCCCCCATGATAATCCAAGGAGAATTAATGCTAGTGGCTATGGAGTGAAGATGCTGCCAAATCCTTTTTTTTCGTTTAGTAGAGTTAGGGCTCGCATAAACAAAAGTGGCCAAGGTAGACAAACCCGAATGGCCATGAGTAATCTTGCAGTGAACAAATTGGAAGTGGTTCAATAAGACCTCCACTTTAATAGAGTTGTACCAACAAAGCCATATCCCGCCGGAATATCCAGCCGCTTCAATTCGATGAGAGTGCGAGAATCCGAGAGAAGCAATGAAAAAGTCTGCTCAAGAACCACTAATCCGAGTTCCACGAAGACAACCAAGTTCGGAGTGACATCATGCATATATTGGCGAACCGCGGTTTCAAAACGAGGGTGACCGCATCGCTGTGTATTCCAACAAAAGATTTTTAAATCCATAAAAAAACAGATTAGAAGAAGAGCACCTGGTTAGACCTCCAATGGTGCAGCAGAAACATCCGAGGATTCCAACTGCCGAGGTTCCACTCGATTATCAAAATTCACCATTTGCTTGGGGCATGCAGGCGTGCCACTCCCACTACCATCTTGAGCACAGCCAGATTGGTGATCGGGGGGGGTGGGGTGGACAAACTGTGCAGTAATATCTGGTGGGACGTTATCAGCACTTTCATGGTCAGCTTTGATAGGTGGTGGTTGAGGAACAGGGGCATTGGTAAAGTTCGGGTCATGGTTTTCCGAGAGCACTAGGGCCACGTGCTTTGATCGGTCAAGAAAAGTCACCTGGGATGGCATAGATACATGATGAGCAGCGGTATTTAGGTGATCATTGGTGGTTCTCGAGGTTTTCATCATCACAGTGGAGACAATTAACGGTTTTCGAAGTGAAATCGGCTCCTTACCTTTGCTGGTTCTAGACGATGGCATAGTTTTGTCATTTTGGTTGGAGGCTCGATTTTTCGATGGGGCTTCAATGGTGATACTTTGGTTGGCAGGAGTAACATTGGATGATCGTTCAGTATGATCAGCATCAGGCAAGCTTGCAATGGGATTAAATCTGGAGCCAGAAGCTTCTTGGTGTGAGTCTTTAGCTGTGTGGGTTTTCCTGCCATTCTCCCGTTGCTTTCGTTCCACAACCATCCACGGGCCATAAGGCTCGAGATTAGATGAATTAGGAGTCTTCTACGTTAATGGCGTGTTTGCCGATTTGGCAGTGGGGATTGCCGGTTGCTGCTCATTACGTTTTCCCCGGCAGAGATCCTGACATGCTCGTATTTTCCACATGAAAAACATTCGATGGGAGCGATTTGTACTCAACAATCTGAACTCGACCAATGATGAGTAACTCGGACACAAGAGGCTTCTTCAGATCTATACTTGTCGCCATTCTAGCAAAACGACCTCGTCTCCCATATTCCGTTTGATAGTAGATTTTGATAACTGATCCAATGCTCCCGCCAATTTTGGTTATGAGGCTGCGTTTATAGAATATCACCGGTAACCCTGGAAGCCGAATCCACACAACGATACGTTTTGGGAATGCTTGAGCAGTAGAGAATTCCGGAGTCCAAGGTTCAACAACAGTGAGATAGTGTCCGAAGAGGGTCCAAGGGCCATCGGAGAGTGCTGTAAAGTATTCATCACGGGAGATGTAACCCCTAAATCAAACCTAAAATAAATTAGGTCGAATCTAGAGAGTGATGAAGAAACTTGTCTTTTACGAAAACCATACTTAATTTTAAACTTAAAAATTAACACCATTGTTACCTAAATATTCCCCAAATTCAAACTTCAAAATTTTATTAAAACAAATGTACGTGAAAATTTTGATAGAAATAATAAGCATTTAGAAACATGCATAAACAGTTCCAAAATTAATTATAATGTCCGAGTCCAACTACAAATAATAAAAATAATTATGAAATAAATTAATATTTGATAAACGAAAAGTAGAATAAAAATCATACTGAAATAATAATTTTTCTAAAAATAAATGTGATTCTCCAAATACCGAATCTCCTAAGTCCGAGTATCTGAAATAGAGAAACTAAGGGGATGCAATCTATTAAGCTTATTGTGTTTCTATAGTGCAATTAAACACAGGTCAAAAAACAGTCTGAAACAAAAAATAATAATCATATTTTGAATCAATTAACAGTCACAAATAATACATCTCAAAACATCATACAATCCGATCTAACAAAATATTCATAGTCCAATTAACTATGCAATGAATGTGCACCAAAACACCTTACACCATCCGAATAGTAGGTTTCCCAGAACCACTCTAACTACTAACATCATCCGAAGTGAGGTTCGCTGCAAAGGCATATGCCACTAAATTCGAAGTGAAATTCACTTCGTCGGGTGAAAACACTAAACTTCCCCTGTCAATCCAAACCCGGTATGACATGCAAATGGCACACATATCCGACATCCGATCCGATTTGAATAATACATATCCAAATAACAAATATCCAAATAACACATACTCAAAATATTATATATATCTGAATTTTGATCTGATCTGGATGTAAAAATTACATATACAAATAATATGAGTTTGATAAATAACACATATCACATAGAATATCTTTATGAATTTCAATTGATACATCAATTTCACATAATCATCATACTCGAAATCATCTTTCAATCAACATGCTATTTGAAATATAATTAATTCAACATTACAACAAAATAATCATGCTTCTACTCAAATTCAGACAATCAAACAATTGTCCATCGATTCTGTCGTGGATTCATTCATAAGAGTATCATGGTAGGAATAGATCTTTGGAGCATGGTTAGAAGGCATAGGGTTTTGCACATCCGTGGCAGGGGGTGAGGCTGTCAGACCATCGCCGTTCGGTGGTTCATTGCCAAACCGTCGCCGTCTGGTGGTTCATCGCCAAACCGTCTAGGTTTCTTGGGGATACGAATGTCATTGGGCGCCAGCGGAGAACTCGGTAGGGTTTCCATAGGCAAACATGGTTATTTGCTAAGCTTTTTCCTTGATTCACCATTATAACCAATATTAAAAATCAATTCAAAATTTTAATTTTTTAAATTTGTTATTTTCTTATTATATATTTTTATATTTCTTATTTTTTTAAACAACAAAATCTCATTAAAAACAAATAAAAAATAATGAATAAGATGGCGATCCAGACCCATCAAGCAAAAATCTCACATATGGTTATATATTTTAGACTTAAACCTTGCAAATGTTGGCAAACCAAATGGTTATATCAAGAAAAGGATGGGGTAAAGAAAAATATGAGGTAATTTTTAATTTAGATTATAATGGTGAATTAAAAAAAAGAATAAAGTAAAATATAAAGATTTGATGTTTTGAGATTGGGGAAGGAGAGGATGAAATAAAGAAGAAGAAGATAATTTGAAAATTTTAATTGATAAGAAAATATGATAATGGAAAATAAAAGTGATATGTACTCATTTAATTGGTTAGAGACTATATTTGAAGTGGTGAAAAGTGTTCATGAAATAATTTCTCTTGAAGTAGAGTATATAAATGTCCAATAATTATGAAATAATATTTGGGTAAAGTACACTTTTAGTACCTAAACCATCACTTTTGTTTTGTTTTAGTAACTAAAATTTCAATTTTTTTCAAAACAATATCTAGCGTTTACTTTTTGTTTATTTTAGTACCCCACCATTAAAAATTGAAATACTAAAATGAAACAAAAAGTTAACAGTTGGGTACTAAATTGAAACAAAAAGTTAACGACATGTATTAAAATAAAACAAAAAGTAAACGTTATGCATGATTTTGAAAAAAAAATAAATGTTTAAGTACTAAAACGGAACAAAAGTGATAGCTTAGGTACTAAACATGTAGTTTACCCTGTAATATTTTTAGCCAATGACTTTCTAAAATTATAAAATTATTATTATATTATTAGCAACCGTATACTGGTATTAAAATAATAAAAGGTCATATTAAATTAGTAAATAATATATTTTAATCTATCAAATCTAACTTATATTTATACTAATGTTTTTTAATATTTTCAAATAATAACTTTCAAGAATATATAGTAATTTATAATATATTTTTGAATTTTTTAAAATATTTTTAAAATTTATATTTTATTTTTAATTAATCTAGGGTGAATATATATATTATCTATTCAAAAACT